CATGGATTCGCTACAGGAGGACTTTGTTCACCCCCCGGAGCCATGTGAGACACTTTTTTTTATGGATAGGTACTTTTTATTTCACTTCTTTTGGACTGAAGCACTGCAACACCGGCTGACTGCAATGATAGAGCTTGGAATAGCCAGGACAATTTTTAATATAACTCCGACTGGATTCGTCTGAAAGAAGAAAGTCATATACACCTAGGATGCCTCGGGGGTGAGTAAAACACAGCCTAATTTTCATTTTTGGGTGAACTAAACCTTTAAGTATGAGCATTAAAGACAGAAAAAACCTTAATAAATTGAAAACGGTTGTGATAACATTTGAAAACAGTATTGATGAACATACAGTGCATATTTGAATGCTAAAAATGAATCTTGCTTCTTTGTTTACGGAGGTGATGTGGGCGTTTACAGGCTCGCGCGTCTCACATGGATGATTACCGTATGAATAGAGCGCGCTGCTTGTGGACGTGATGACATTACAGATAATGAGCTCAGACGGGAAAGACTGGACCTCGCATTGGTTTTATACAGATTACTTCATCAGAGAACATTTGCTTTAGATAAGACTTACTTCATTTAAAAGTAGACACTTCAAGTTTTCCATAGATATGTTTCTCATGTCTGTGTGTGAAGTATTCGCTGAGTTTTGGTTCATCTTAGTGACGCGTTTCAGAAAGTAGTTTGCGGAGACTGAGACAGCTGAAAGCGCACCCTGTATATTTTCTTTATTTTACAAAAGTACAATCTTTTGTTGATATTGTGAGTGTACATAAATAAAAGTAGACCCTTCATAGATTCAAATTATGTATTACACTTGTTTGTACAACCAAAAATGGCGGAGGATTTTAAGTTATTTTCGCTGTTATCAGGAAAAAATGCAAGTGATCGTGCTGGCGCCTCCGTCGACCCCGCGCAAAACGTGATTTTAAAACGCATATAATTTTTTTTTTTCTTAACATAGACCCTTCATAGATTCAAATTATGTATTACACTTGTTTGTACAACCAAAAATGGCGGAGGATTTTAAGTTATTTTCGCTGTTATCAGGAAAAAATGCAAGTGATCGTGCTGGCGCCTCCGTCGACCCCGCGCAAAACGTGATTTTAAAACGCATATAATTTTTTTTTTCTTAACATTACATTTGTAACGTAAGTAACGTAATTATATTGACTTTAGTAACTGTAATAATCAAATTACACAAATTTAAAAAGTAATGCGTTACATTACTGCGTTACCAGAAAAAGTAATTAGATTACAGTAACACGTTACGGTGTAATGCGTTATACCCAACTCTGGGTATGCATAACCAGCTGTGTATCTACGCTGGGCTAGTTTCATAAAATATTTTCATATTGAGAACCAAACAAACCTCTATCAAGTAAAGCACTTGAGATGGTGATGGTCCAAAGAAACGTGAATCCAATGTGGGGCTAAGGCTGTTTTCACCGAGTTTGGCGTGATCCAGACAGATGGCTCGCAGGTTTTCCACTGTGGTGTTATCTGAAAGGCAACAACAGTGAGTAATGAATAGACAAGGCAGACTGGTGCAGCTAGATGTCTCAAGCAGACATCTAATGAAGCATATAGAGCACCTGGAGGCATGAGCTTCATTAGAACACGAGCTCCATCCCGGAGGAGAGGCATGTTGAGATTACAGCCCAGGTCTGCAACTTGCCAGAGGAAAGAGATGTAGCGCAGGTGTAGGGACATTATCTAAGACAAAAAGAATCAGAGGTTACACTTAAAATTGCCAAACACAAAACATTAAAAACAGTTATAATAAATGCAGTAATAAATGTAATACTGAATCCAGACATTTAGCAAATGGGGTGTGATTCCATTCATTTTTATTTTTTTAATAACTTCTGACTGTTACATCAAAGTCAGCTTGAAACTTGTATTATAAGAGGAGGAAACACATTCCATTATGCACCATATTTGTTTGTGGGCATGTTACAGGGCCGGAGTGGGACTAATTTTCAGCCCCAGAGTTTCATGCCTTAGTTAGACCGGCCCACTTTAGTTCACGACTGACTATAGCTATTAAAACAACATAATTAAAACCAGTGTATAAAAGTCTGCAGTCTGCAATAGTGCACTGTTCTCTACAGCTTTGTAATTCATTGTATTTTTCTAGAGCTTTCATTTTTTTGTACTGGCCTTTTCAGCGCCGTCTTTGCACTTTCTATCATCCATTTTTATTATTTTTTGCTCGCATATCTCCAACATCTGACTTTTTTTTCTGAGCAAGGTGCCGGTGTCGGAGGAGTCAACAGATAATTGCCAATTAACTTCAGAAATGGAAAATAAGGGACAATTGTGATTTTTTATAAGAAAATAAGGGACAGAATAAGGGACGCTCAAAATATTTGCACTGTACCATAATGTATGTAAATGTGTGTTCTCAGTAATAATCACATTTGTTTTGCTTAACCTATTTATGTACAATTATTCTAAAAAATAATTTTTAATGTCATACAAAAAAAAATGTCATCGGCCTGAGTAAATTGTACCATTATAGAATAGTGACTGCACAAGTAGTGCAGTAATTTAGGAGGTGAAAATACTGTGAAATTACATACATACAAATGGCATGAAATTTGAAAGCATAACAACTGAAGGTCTATGAAGCGTCAGTCCATAAAGCATTTTTTTAAACAATGGCACTTTAATTTTTGAACTTAAATATTAGTGCAACCATATAGCCTATGAATGAATGAAAATGCATATTTTTCAATTAAAGAAAAATTTTAAGAGTGTGGGCTGCTTCTGGTGCTTGGATTTGTACTTCAATATAATGAGGTATAAGTTTAAGAATACGCTACAAGTTGCATTTAAATTTTTATTAATTTTTTTCTTCTCTATTTAACAGCTTTAACTAACTTACAATAGTAAAAGATGTCCCCCAGGTAGATTGAATGTTTTCCTGCCTTGCTGGATGTTGGATTCATGATCAATAAGTTGTTTGCATTCGCCCAAACTGATTTGGCAAAATTAAAACACAGACGGTGAGCGCGAGTCCCGCTCGCTGTGAAGCAGCCGGCAGAGGATTCCGCTTGGTCTTAAAGCCTTCCTCGAACGGCTACGTTCACAAATACAACATTGATTTGCGCAATAGAATGATTAGTTATCAATTGAGAATTTGTTATTCATATGGTCTGGTGGTCATTTGACGTATGCCTGCGAATACGGGACAAACGGTGTTATAAGCTTTCATACGGGACGCTTCTTTGATGCCTTAAATACGGGCATCCATATTTCAACCACAGTGGCATGACAAGACCGGCCCTCGCTGCCAAAAAACAGACCGGCCCACCGGGAATCCTCCCGGTGCTCCCAATTAGCCAATCCAGGCCTGGCATGTTATGTAGTAATCTAGTACTCCCTATTAGGCTCTTAGGGGTAGACACACAACAAACCAACGGCAAAGAACCTGTGCTGGCCATTTTTCGATATGGTCATTTTTCAAATCGTCATATCGCCAGCCCGTGAGATCGCCGATACACGGTATTATCGTGCATGGGTGGGTGGCGAGAGAGAGACTCTCTGTAGCCTACTTGTCATAGGCTATTTCATAACTATTTGGCGTTTTAAACCATGTGCGAGAGAGAGCCTATGGAAGCACCGATAATCTAAATAATATACTTTCAAACATACTGATAAACTAACATGCTAAATATAAAAATATTTAAAACAGCTAGTTCATATATATATTCGGAAACAGTCATACACCGCTATTATAGGACCGTGTCCTGTGACAAGTTTGCCGCACGGAAGTTATCAGTCTAAAAGGTCTGCAAAATCAGTCAACTGTGAAAATCAAAAGTAGATTTATTTTAAAGACCAACAGTTTAAAACTAAATATTGGACATAAACGAACACGTTAAATATAAAGATTTAAAACAGGTAAGTTCATATATTCGGAGTAAAATTAAATTAAACAGATACATCAGTCATACCGGATCTTTCACCGGCCACAGGCTCTAATCCTCATTTTCGTCTGTGTGGGTGTGTGTGTGAAGTGCGGTGCGGTGCTGAATGAAATAGCGGGGCAATTTGATAATAATAGCCGAATTATAATGGGCTACCTAATAATAATAATAATAATAATAATAATTGAATACATTAATTGGAGAATGAGCCTAATATCATCTTGACTATCAACACAGACATCTGCTATCATCGATACACAATACTATCGTCACAACCCTACTGAGGAAAGCCGACTGTGGCATCGCCTTGTGTTGTCTCGCATTGCCTGCATCGGGGTAAAAAAGGTTGCACTAGAACACACCGGACACACTACAGCCGATGACCAACTAGCGTGTACGCTCTTGCGTTTGCGTGAGAGAACATAACTCTCCCTCACCAGCAGGTGGCAGTAGTCTGTATTCGGCATTCAAACAGGGAAACCAGAAGAGCTAGAACTGTGTATATACAAAGCAAGCAACGCTTTATCATTGTTTACACCAGCAGCACTCATTACTGACAGATTTGTGTAGCTTTTTTCAATCATGTCTGCTAAGTTGCAAATGGCACTGGTATTGTCGGTCTTTGGTCTTCTTCTTGTGGATAAAGAAAGAAAGAAACTGACAGAATGACAACAAGTCTCTGTACGCTCCCTCTTAACTCCATCATTGGTTTGCTTTCATCCATTTTTTTTTCTTGTGTGCACATTCGCTAAGCTAAATAGCCAATCGGAGTTCTCTTTCTCGCCGATGAGCTCTGGCATGATTAGACATGCAGAATAGACCAAAAAACAGCTGACGGCGTCCGACTAGATGCTCAAAAACCACCCAACATTGCCTGATGGCCAACTGTTGGCTTGGTGTGTCGTGGGCTTTAAGCGACTGGAAAATCTACAGATCTCTCAGCAAAGCACCACAGGTGGATATACACAATTTATCAACACAGCTTCTAAAGACATTTCTCAATGTATTCAATGTGTAAATAAATAGACAGTTTGGCTCAATTGTGTGCCTGAATGGCAAAGTGCTCACCACGCCGGGAAGACAGCTCTCCACTTCAGGGTTTGGCCCATCACTGAAGTGATTGCCATGGTTCCCAGGGGAGCCAGTGGAGGAGTCTGAGGAGCTGTCTGGACTGGAAGGCATATTGGCGCTAACCTGGGTGAGCTTGGCTGTGATGAGCTAGAGAAGAAAAAAAAAAGCACTCTTGTAAACTATAACATATCCTGATCATACGACCTCTACAAAAAGTGCTGTTAAAAGTAAGGCAAAGGTTGCGTGGGTGAAATCCCCTATTGAGCAAATTGAGAAAAACAGCCAAGGAGATGCCTACAGTTTTATCTTTGAGGTTTAGCTGCCCGATTAGCTTCCTGTCATCTGCTGGGTCAATGATCTCTCCCCCGATGAACAGCTCAATCTTGGTGTGTGTGCTGTTGGCCTTTATTCGATTCAGAATGCAGCGTCGCACAGAGCCAATTGTGTCGTTGGTATGCGACCAAATATCCAGATCATCAACCTGTCGGCCTGGGTTTGGGAAACGCACAACTAGTGTGATATGCTTTCCTCGGAAAGCCCTTAAAATAAAAAAAAAAACATTTAAATAGAGTTTATTAGAATCTGGCCATCATAGACAAGCAAAAAAAAAAAATGTATTGAGTTAATTAAAGACAGGCTTCAATGAGTCTACCTGGACATGGGCAGGATAGTCCTCTCCTCGTGGTAGTCACTGTCACACTCGGTTATATACTCCCTGAGCACCGTCAGTACTCTCACCATGCGGATGGCCTCCTGTCTGGCACAGTTAATGCTGTCTTTATCTCCATCCAGCACACACAGAGTGTCATAGGAGGCTTTGAGCCGGTCAAAGCAAGACTGAATAAAATCCTCATGGATCACTACCTGCAAACAGTCATTGACACATGTTAAAAACAAACTCAAGAGCAGTCCAAAATGTATTACAGCAAGTGATATGCTTTTCCACTGTATTATTACCTGATTGGCTTGTAATTTTGGTCCGAGGTTTGTATAAATCTCTTTAAGCAAGTCAATTGCTCGGCTAGCAATATCATCACTTCCTTGAATCACAACCTGTTAGAGAAAAAATAAGGAAAATAGATGGTTTGAGCTCAGGCTGACATTTAGCTTTAAAATACTTCTGGTGACACTGAAAATCACCTGGTGATATTACAACAACATGTATAACTGTGATGAGGTCACCCAAAAGTTCCATCCAAGGGCATATTTCCAAATTTTCTACTCGACATTTTGTTAAAATACATTGACTTATTACAAAATAACCAACAGGCTAGAAAATGAAGGCATTTGAGACGGGTAATATACCAGAACAAGCAGCTCTAAACATACCAATGAAGGTCCAACAGCTCTAATTGACTCTTACCCTCCACAGGTAATCCAGCCCTATCAGCTCCAAGTCATCCATCATGTATGCCCGGCGTTTTGCCACCAGCTTGCCTTCCCTGCAGTTGACTGCCTTGAAGAATCGTTCAAAGCATTTCATCCCGTTCTCTGTCAGCAGCGAGGGGTCAAGCTGTAGTACGTTGTTCTCAAAAAAGTCCTTGTTGATGTCAGGGTCAAGGTCGGGTTCGTCCCCCATGAGTTTGGAGTACCATTTGAAGCAGGCCTCCCGATCACACAAGAACACTGCGTTCTCCGCCAGGCACTTCCAGATCTGCTTAGCCTGAGGTGCACACAGCCAGAGTTGCCCATCTTTCAGTAAGAACCTGAAGGATGAGGATATTTAATCATTTGTTATTTAGGGGGTCTTTAGAGAGTCTAAGAACTAGCCGTTTTAATAATAGACCTTGTGGTGCAGACCAAATCCATTTGATGACAGAGCTTGATTGGTGTGAAAGCTGTTTTCTGAAATTAGGTGCACACCAAGAAATTGTCTGTTCCTTGGTGTACAAGAAATTTACCATTGATGACAAATAAATAGCCTTTCATATTACAATAGTCTAGAACATTCTGTGTCTGTTTAGTTTTGCTATTAAAATCAAAAGGATAGAAACCAGAGTAAAAAAAGTGAAGTGAAAAACACTTTCCATTTGTGGCACCTTCATCACCTAGCTACAGTGATAAACAGCTTATTCTAGTACACTGTAATACCCATGTTGATGACAAAAATGAGTAATGTTTAGAGCCAAATAAATTGAAGAGAATTGAATTTGGATTCTGCAATCTAAGCAGTGTATAGGAAGGTTGTTTATAAAGTATAAATACCTCAAGAAATTGAGCCGCTCCTGGACCTCCTGAACATGACTATACCGACTTCCTGGCCTAACCGTCTGGGGATCAAAGTCTGTGTGCTCTGATAAAACATAAAAAGTTAGCACTGGCAAATGTTTAACACTGTGGGCATAAAACTAAAAAATAAAAATAAATGTTAAAGGGGTCATGACATGCAGGTTCAGATATTGACGGTTTTTTGTACCAAAAAAAAAGCCCAATATTTATAAAAAAACGATAATTTTCCACCCTCATTTTCACTCTCTGATGAAAAACAGAAGTGAAAGGGACGTTACCTCTTGTAGAAATGGAAGTAAACACCCACTGCAGTGATTTGCTAACTTAAATCGAACCCTATCCACGCCCTCCTTTACAGCATGTTGTGTGTTTTGATACTCGAGATGGCAACAGGGTTCCAGACAAAAAAAATTACAATTATATATATATATA